AGGAGTCGCCCCCTGGTGGACACTAGAGAGAATGCAGCTTTAACACACGAAGAACAGACTTCACTCTTCAGGAGGTTGTCTCCTGTGACAGTCGACGTTTTGTGCTGATAATTATTGATGCAGCACCAGAACAAAGTACCGCTGTAAATAAACACAAGACAAAACTTTATTAAAAGTTTCTTAAAAACACTATTAAGTATTTTCTTGTCCATTAGAGAACGAGTTTTGCGGACTGGACTCAAAGAGCCGAGGAGTTCCCAGAAACCTTTGCATCATCAGTGATGTAAGACCTTTTTTATTTTTCACTCTCCAGGGGACCACACACACACACACACACACACACAGACACACACACACACACACACACATCTGTGTCTTCTTTGAAAGAATCTGGTTTCTGATGTGTTTGTGTTCTCAGATCTTCGAGTGTTAACAGATTTATTGATCGGACACATTAACGATCTGTTCTCCTCTACTGGGACAAAGACACACATTACCACATTATTCCCTGTCGGCCACGAGACGAACATTTAACTTTTCTGTTTCCACTGAAAAGCAGAGCAACAAAGAGAAGAATGCAACATAAATAAGATGCAACTCTTTCATTCATCTATGTGAATCTGTATGTTTTAGTTTCCATCTTATTGATCTAAACATGAACTTTTCTTGCTTCCTTGAACTATAAATTACACGAGAGAAGCAACATTTCTTTAACTTTGATTTATTCTGCTTCACCGGATCTTCCTCTGCGACCATCTTGTTTCTTTAAGGAAACAAAGAGCTGAATGCGAAACAGACGACTCATCTTCATCATGTTGAACATGTTGAAGCAGTGCTGCCCCCGAGTGGCCGGGTCTCCACATTACAGCTGTTTAGTATCGTTTATCTGTGGAGCGACATTATTTCTGTTTTTGTTTGTTTGATAAGAAAATCTAAATAATGTTGTCGATGTTTTGTGCTGATAATTATCGATGCAGCACCCGAACACAGTAATGCTGTAAATAAACAGAAGAAAAACTTTATTAACAGTTTCTCTTAAATACACAGAGTGAGAAAGTGAGCGGCATTCAGTCCGCGTGTTCGAGTCCAGCAGAGGTCAGAACTTCACCACTTTGGTTTCTTTGGGTTTGGGTTTCTTCAGCGGGACGTGAACGTCTTCGTGGTCGGCACTCATGTTGTTGGACAACCAGGGAACCGTCAGCGAGTTAGCTGGAGGGAGACGAAGAGTTAAACTAAACTCTCCACAGTGAGGAAGACTCTGGTACTAATGCGTAGACTAGAATAAAGTAATAACATGAAAGAAGATCTAACAACACGATCATCTGACCGTCACCTCCTCACTGCAGCGGGAGCTAGCTCAGTGATGCTAGCGAGTTAGCATCATAACTTTATTTAAAAAGCACCTTAAAACAGTTTACAGAGAAAGAAAGAAAATAATTTAGTAAAATCAACAAATAAAAATCAAATTAAAGAAAGTCCGTAAAAACGTGTTTTAAGAAGTGATTTAAAATGAGTATTAAATAATAATATATAATATTTCATTATGAAATGTAAACATTTGAAAGCAGTTTGGAGACTCACAGGCAGCCTGATGTTCAGGACAATCCTTCTGAAAATGTTCCACTGAACCACAAACACGACAGGAACCTCCTGCAGAAACACACGCCGTCATTTAAACTACTGTAAAATGAATTAATATGTGTATACATTTATGTATTTATGATGAATATCAGTGTTTGAACCTTGAGCGTAGAGCCCTTTAGGATTATCTGGACAGCCTCGGGACACATGTCCGGTCTGACCGCAGATGAAGCACTTAGCGTACGGATGTTCTCCTGAACACAAGAGGAGAGTTATGAATATAAATATTTGTACAATATTAATTACGAACATGAATCAAACGCAGACGTCTCCGCGCTGTTTCTCACCCAGAGCCGGGTCCACTTTGGCTCTGCACTTGTGGATCTCGTGCTCGGTGGAGCCGCAGCGGTAACAGATGCCTCGGCCCATCTCCTCGTCGCGGTCGGCCTCCGGACAGTCGGCCAATCCGTGACCGGGCTTCCTGCAGTTAAAGCACAGCTGCAAGGAGGGAAGGAAACAAGGAAACAAGGAGACGAGGAGGCATCAGAGCCTGAACAAGGACTCAGTGATTTATGTAAAATGTAGAAATGATGACGACGTGTTGGAGAATCTGTCCACCCCCCCCCATCACGCACCATGTTGCTCTTCTTGTCGTTCTGCCTCTTCACCCGTCTGTCCTCTCTCCTCCTGTCTTTCTTCAGAGCCGTCTCCACCTCCTCCCGGAGCTCCCTTCCTCCTGCGCCCCCTCGAGGCAGCGGCCGTCCGCTCTGCTGGAGGAACTCCAGGAAGCCGTTCACGTCCTCACTCACGTAGTCCTTCTTGGGACGGTTTGGTTTCTTCACAGCTGATCCGCCGGGATAAGTCCCTCTCAGATGGTCCCTCTGATGGTCCCTCTGATGGTCCCTCTGATGGTCCCTCTGGGGTCCATGTCTAGAGCCGCCTGAATGGTGACCTCCTCCTCCTCCTCCTCCTCCTCCTCCTCTCAGCTGAGTCCATGGAGTGGCCTCCGCCGGCTTGTGTTTGTGGATGTTATTGGCTCTCGCCCACCTCGTCATGACGGAACCTTCTGAAGTTTAAAGAGGAATAATTCACAGAAATATTTAGCTCAGATTTGGCTTCTTTTTATTTGATCAGTTAAAGATATGATGCGTCAGCACAGAATAACATCTGATGAACTTATAGAATAATAATACATTGTATTTGTATAAGGTACTCAAAGACACTTTACATGCTACAAACAGAAACAATAAAAGCAACTACAATAAACTAACTCGATGACGTAATAAGGAGAGTAACAGTAACGTTACTTTGAAGCACATAAACAGTTGATAATGAATTTATCTTAAAGAGTCAAACGTTACTGAAACTGTTGAATCTAAACGTCGTTAAGAGAAATTATTTTACGTAAAAACAGCAAAAAATAACTTTGTTGACATTTGTATTAGCATGTAAAGCTATCAGCTAAGCTAACGACACAGAGCGTTATCTACGTTTTTAGCTAAAAGTAGCATTTCGCCACTCGTGAGCTAACTTATTACAACAACATAATTTAAATAAAAAACGTTCTTATTGAATATGTCTTAATAATAATAATAATACAATTATTAGTTTAGAAACAACGTTACCTTGAGAGATTTACAGCCCATGTGATTGTATTTTCACCGGAAGTACTCGGTCTTCTTCGTGGTCTTCTTCTTTGTTTTTATTGTCGGATCAAACCATCACAAGAGCTCCACACCACCCCCTGCTGTCTGTTCATGTTGTCTGTTCAACGACAACATGTTGAGAACATTTAACTGGTTTTAATGCTTCAACTTGTGAAAAATATATAAATATAAATATAAATGCAATTAGTTTGTCAGTTTATAAAATATATCAACATTCAATTTAAATATATAGATAATTACCAAAGTCACCAGTATCAGGATTCATGAATACAAACGAACAAAAAGAAAAATAGTAGTAGTAGTAGTCTCTAAAATGACTAAACTCACATATTAAACATGACAATGCCATAAATTAAGTGGTATTTAAATTTGAATATTGATGAGGTATTAAATTGCTTACAATATTCAAATTAATATGTAAGTTATTCATTTCAATATGCACAATAAATAAATAAAAGCAGCACTTAAAAATGACATTTAATGATGTTAAATCTCAGGCTTCCCCAAAAAAACACTCATTAAACAAAAGATTTGTATTTTTGAAAAAGAGAATAAGAGAGGACAAGATGGTGCAAAATGATTAAAACGTTTCTTTGCTTCCATAAAGACAAATAAAGTTGTTAAAATCAATATTTTTATATTAACAATAAATTAAATGACCAAACTACTAAAAGTACAAAAGTATTACTGACTTATTTAATTATTATTCACGAGTGTGAGACAGGAGGAGTGTGAGACAGGAGTGTGAGACAGGAGGAGTGTGAGACAGGAGTGTGAGACAGGAGTGTGAGACAGGAGGAGTGTGAGACAGGAGTGTGAAACAGGAGGAGTGTGAGACAGGAGGAGTGTGAGACAGGAGGAGTGTGAGACAGGCGTGTGAGACAGGAGGAGTGTGAGACAGGAGTGTGAGACAGGAGGAGTGTGAGACAGGAGTGTGAGACAGGCGTGTGAGACAGGAGGAGTGTGAGACAGGAGTGTGAGACAGGAGTGTGAGACAGGAGAGTGAGACAGGAGTGTGAGACAGGAGTGTGATACAGGAGGAGAGTGAGACAGGAGTGTGAGACAGGAGTGTGAGACAGGTGTGTGAGACAGGAGAGTGAGACAGGTGTGTGAGACAGGAGAGTGAGACAGGAGTGTGAGACAGGAGGAGAGTGAGAGAGGAGTGTGAGACAGGAGGTCGTTAACGGCTCACAGCTGACGTTACTTAAGCTGCCTAACGAAGCAGACGCTTCATCGTGTCTGGTCTCTGAGCACCATGCTGCTCCTCGTCCTCGCTGCGCTGCTCGTTGTTCCACATGGTGAGAAATCGACACGTTTGTTTCACTTTCTGGAGGAAAAAGTACGAAACCTCTTCTGTGATGTGTTTGTTCTTTAGTGGCCTGCAGTCCTCTACGGGGGGAACGAGAAGGTACGTGTGTCTGACTGAAGATCCATCAACATGTTCACGTTGATGAGAGACGAGTTTGTTTTATGTATGAATGTGTTCACAGCCGCTCAGAAGGACCCGCTCATCAAAGTACAGCGTTATATGAAGTCCAACCCAGAGACTCTAGAAGGTCTGTATTTCAAACTTTAATATTTGAAAAGAAAGGTTGAACAAATATGTTTTATGTAATGTTTCTATTTCTCTTCATGATGTTTTAAACAGAGCTGATGACGGAGAAGCACGCCGTGCTGGAGGGCGACATGGTTCTGTCTGTGAGTAACATCAGTATAACTTCACTGTGAACACGTTCTGTGCATGTTCAGCAGTGATGACATGTCCTGACGTTTAGCTCCACAAAAACACTACGTTTCCCATCATGCCACGCTATCTGTCGTAACGGCAGATTGTAAGAGTTTGAGAACATACTTCACTGTTTTAAATGTAAATGATGAGATAAAAGCACCATCAGATATAATGAATAATGTTGTTGATCAGATGACTCGTGGAGAAATGTTCTGGTTCAAAGACTTCAATTAACCAGCAGAGTGTTGAACCTCTGGATGATTTACTGGAGGGGCCTGTTGGGCAAAGGTCAGGGGCCAGAAGTGTCTGGGGCCCCTCAGGCCGAGACTACCAACCAGGAAGAGACTGCAGGGCGACTGCAGGGAAATGAAGTGATTTCAAAGAGGCTCAGGGAGATGCAAAACAATCCCAAAGAGACACAAAGCGCTCAAACGCTGGCTGTTCTGTGTTTCTTTGTGATGTCACACATTCGTTACGTCAGTGTGTCTTCACTGTTTGACACCACAGAGCGACAGGAACGCAGTGAGAACCAGCTGGCCCACGACAGCGATCCCGTACACCATCAGCCCAGAGTTGGGTGAGCAGCATCAGATCACTGCTCCGTGTTTCTACTCGTCTCTAATCTTTATTCTAACGTTGTGTATTTCTTTTATTTGCAGTCGGTCGGACAGCTGACATCCTCTCTGCTATGGCGATGGTGTCTGAACACACCTGTGTGTCGTTCCCCAAGAGAAGCTCTGAGAGCAGCTACCTGCACTTCATCATCAGCAGAGGGTAGAGGTCTTCATGCTGCGTAGTGAATGTGTTCAGAGCTGTCTCAAACATGTTCCGGTAACATCGAAACATTTCGTCTTTGTGCATCGACTGACGTTTCCAGGTGTGCGTCGTTCGTCGGCTTCGGCGGCGGCGAGCAACCCTTGTTCATTGGCCCAGAGTGCATTGTGGGTAACATCGTCCACGAGATTCTTCACGCTCTGGGCTTCCACCACGAACACACGCGGATGGACCGCGACGTGTACATCAAGGTTCTGTTCAACAACATCATGGAGGGTAAAAGTTTCTGATTAAAGATCTCTGGACGTATGAAAATACAGTTTATAAGACCAAAGCGTCCTCAAGGGGGCGCCGCAGAGTCTGCTCTTAAATCACTCGCGTTCTCTGGTTTAAATCGACCAAACACGGACACACATAGATGTCATCTTTAATGTCCATAAAACGGCTTAGAAATCATGGAACAGGAGTTGCCTGAGAATTCACGTTTTCTTTAATATAAAAGTATTCCAGTGATGGTTGTGTGTGTATCGTTCTACTGCAAACAGGAGCTATTCATGTCAAAATAAGTAGAAAAACAGCTCAAAACATAAAACGGTCTTCTCCCCACAAGAAGAACCAAATCAAGTTCTAAGCTGCGTTGAAGAGAACTTGGAAGCTTAAAATCTGCTCCCTCCTCGATGAAGAACTGAACTCAGAGTCTCAGATCCATTCTAAAGCTTTTAGCTGTTTATCAAACAATAGACGCACACGTTCTAAACTCAACTGAGTTGGCTGCAAATGCCAGAAATACCTACAAGCCCAGAGTTCTCCTTCTTGCTATTCCGACCCACAATCCTTTGCACAGCAGATGTTTGATCAAGGGGGAGTAAATGACGACGTTGTCCACGACTGAATGCGTGCTGCAGGAAACCCCCCGTGTACTTTATGCGCTGTAGTGTGTACTAAAGTATGAGACGCGCGAGAGCTGTGATGTCATGAATCCTGCAGGTAAAGTTCAGGTGAGCAAAGACGAATCGTTCATTCAGCAGAGAAGCTGTAACGGAACAAGAAGTAAAAACACATTTCTGAGTTAATTATGTTTTATTATAATAATACTACTGATGTGTTTCAGGGAGGGAGAAGAACTTCCACAAAGTACCAGGCACGACGTTTGACCTCGGCTACGACGTGAACTCCATCCTTCACTACGGAAGGTAACGTGATCATGACGTTCTGTTTGTGTTATGAAGAAGAGTTGTTGATGTGAAAGTGTTTGTGCATCAGTAGGTTTTTTTCAGCCAACGGTGACCGCACCATCGTCCCCAACGAGTACGTGCAGAACATGGGACAGAGGGTGAAGATGACCGAGGGGGACATCCAGAAAGTTCGCCGCCTCTACAACTGTGGTACTCTACATGTGTACTTGTACTGACGTCGTGGTAACTTGAGGAGTATTAGTACACGAGGCCTCGGTAACGCTTTGTTCTCGTCTCTCTCCAGAGTCTCCAAAAGCTGAAGAGGAAAGCGTCGTCATGAAGGAGACGATGGATGATGCGACGAACGGCACGAGCTCTGATCAGAGTTCATCGCTGCAGCAGCTGAATTCCACCACTAGAGGGCAGAATATCACCAGTTATTAATAAAGGCAGAAACATCAAAACTCATGTGTTATCTACGTACATGAGTTACTACGAGCAACCACCATTATTTTGTATCTTTAGTCTATAAAACAGATGGATAATAAAAGAGTAAAATGGTTCACAAATGTTTCGTTTTGTTTGTCCAGATGTTTCAGACGTGAAGAGGATGAAACGTGTTCATGTGGCTCACTATGAATGAAACGCGTCATGCGTTCAGCTCAACGTAAAACAAATGTCAGAACATTTCATATCGTTCGTTTGTTTTTAGAAAGTTGTGAAACACAAAGAGGCACGAAGAAGAATGAGTTGAAAGAGTTATGATCTGACTCACACATTAATACATTTCATCTTCAAGTCTTCATCCACAAACATTACTCATGTTTTCTGTCGTTAGTTTGTGTGACTCACTACGTAAAGAGTTGGTTTTTAAGGTACTTCTGATGTATTTGATCACTTATTATAAGGTAGAGATGTATCTGTTATATTCCATCTATATAACTGAATATGTTGAGCTGCAGAGAGAAACAGAAGAACATGTTTGTGTGTTTCTGTCGAACGTTTCACGGTTTAATGTCGGATATTTACCGGAGAACAGTTGTCTGATAACTGGTTCATCTCGTCCACACATCACAGGATGCATTTACTGACTCTTCTTGTCAAAGTCGTCAATCTATTTTAAATATGCGTGTTTATTATCTACACCTTGAGTCACCAGTTAACTCGGTCACTGGTGAACCCGGAACACCTGTAGCTCTGAACAGACATGTATTCTGCTTTCATTTGAACTAAACGTGTAAAGCTTCTAACTCGTCTGGATGACGACACTAAGGACTTATTTTACTGGAGTGTTTTTGTTGACATTCATTATTATTATAGAGTAACAATTCACTTAGTACAATTTTATAAAGTGCTATTATATATTTCAACTGCATTTTAAGTTCTCAAATAATAGAACAATTGACTTATACAAGTTCAAAACATGATGAATATGTTAGTTATGAAGTAAAGTTTCCTGTGAGCGTCGGAAGAAACGCGGTGCATCTTCACGTGAACCAGAGAACGTTTCACTTCCTACATAAATCACTTTATTGATTATTGGAGCTGCTGTAGATCCACGAATCCATCACAGTCAACAATAAGCTGCGCGTGTACATCAGAACGTAAAGCTACATCAGACCTCGTGCTCAGATGAGATGAAGTCGGACTGTAGAAGAAGAAGCTGCGCGTAAAAAGGAGAGAAGCGCGTGCTCGTTTATCCGGTAACGTCCGCATCGGTTCCTCCTCTTCTTCCCTCAGAGCCCGGAGAGGAGCGCTGCACGCGGATACAACCTCCTCCCGTTCAACCGGACCGGTTTACGTTCCTCCGGGGATCACAGCGGACTCTCGGTCTCGGGTTTGTCCGATAAACAGTGCATCATCACCGGATACTTTCAGTCCGGATTCTGCAAAGAAAATCAACTTTTAAAGTTGTTGGTCACGCGGAGAGACGCAGCTGGAGGATCTTTTTATTGCAGTAAGTCTATTTAACGTTCATTCTGAGGAGTATTGTTCTCATGCACTCATTAAAATGATCTGAACAATGACATAAATGATTTACTTTACCTTCAGCCACATGTTCACTGTGGAAACATCTAGATTTCTGTCTTTTATTAATCATCTAAAAAATGACTTTTGACTGAATATTTGACTTATATTCATGATCCTATATATTCATATTAGAAATAAAGAATCATGGCCTCCAACAAAATATAGAAATTATAACTGACAAAGAGAAGGAGCTACATGTATAATAATATAATATATACATAATATATGATTCCATTTAGGATGAAACACACACATACGTATATGTAAATATATATATATATATATATATATATATATATATATATATATAGACATATTTACATATATATTTACATATGTATGGCAATATATATTATATAAACACATAAATGTGTATATATAATATATGTGTTTGTGTTTCATCCAAAAGAAACAACAGCTCTTTAGTGACAGTTTGCAAAATCTAAACAAATAAATACGTTTATCTGTCTGTTTCCTTCTTCCCTCATCATCAGCTTCATCATCTTCATCATCTTCACTGAGCTGAACGAGGCTCAGTCATTATCGCTCCAGACCTCTAGGTGGCGCGCTGCTAACTTTAGCTACGATGCTAATGCTGCTAATAAAATGCAACAGTAGCTGCTGATGTTTCTCTAAACAATCGTTTTATTTTGTCGGGTCCCAATGAAGAGCTTGCCTCCACAAACAGCCAATATTATTATACCCTCAAGGTTCTTCACGCATGTGGACCACGGATTAATTCCACAGTTTACTGTTCACTATCGCAGTGTAAATAAAGTTGTACTGACTCAGTGAACATGTGTTTCTAGTCTCTGATCTCTGATCATGTTTCATTGTAAACAACCAATCAGAGGAGAGCTAGTAACGTTAGCAGCACCGCTAACGGCTGACCAACAGGAGGAGAGCTAGTAACGTTAGCAGCACCGCTAACGGCTAACCAACAAGAGGAGAGCTAGTAACGTGAGCAGCACCGCTAACGGCTAACCAACAGGAGGAGAGCTAGTAACGTTAGCAGTACCACTAACGGCTAACCAACAGGAGGAGAGCTAGTAACGTTAGCAGCACCGCTAATGGCTAACCAACAGGAGGAGAGCTAGTAACGTTAGCAGCACCGCTAACCAACAGGAGGAGAGCTAGTAACGTTAGCAGCACCGCTAATGGCTAGCCAACAGAGGTTCACTTCAGTTACATGATGATGCCTTCAAGCTCTGCTCAGTGAACATGAGTACTGGCTGAAGGCACATTATAACGTTATCATGATGTGTTCAACTCTCTCCCTCTGTCTCTCCCTCTCTCTCTCTCGTAGATCACATGGCTTCACGTTGACCGACGACCGTCCGGTTTCCCCCCCCGTCGTTGTCGTCACCATGTCAGCTTCCCAGGATGCCCCCTGCCTGTCGGAGCTCGGCGGACTCCCCGGCGTCTCCGGCGCCCGACCCTGCAACCGGAGCACCACCAGGACGTCGCCGTACACCCCGCAGGCCACCGCGGCCTTCGCCATCGCCATCACCTTCATGATGGTCCTCACCATCGTCGGGAACATCTTCGTCATCATCGCCGTGCTGACGTCCCGGTCCCTCAAGGGGGCTCAGAACCTCTTCCTGGTATCGCTAGCGGCGGCGGATATTTTGGTCGCCACGCTCATCATCCCGTTCTCGTTAGCCAACGAGCTGCAGGGCTACTGGGCGTTTAGCTCCATCTGGTGCGAGATCTACCTGGCGCTGGACGTCCTCTTCTGCACCTCCTCTATCGTGCACCTTTGCGCCATAGCGCTGGACCGCTACCTGTCCATCTCCCGGCCCGTGTCCTACGGCGCCAAGCGCACCCCGACGCGCATCAAGGCGGCCATCGTCGTGGTCTGGCTGATCTCCGCGGTCATCTCCTTCCCTCCTCTCCTCACGCTGGACAAGAGCGAAGGAGGCGAGGAGGTGTGCGAACTGAACAACGAGCGCTGGTACATCCTCTACTCCACCATCGGCTCTTTCTTCGCCCCTTGCGTGATCATGATTCTGGTGTACGTGAGGATTTATCAGATCGCCAAGCGGCACACGCGCTGCCCGCCTGGACGGGAGCAGAAAGCGGCGGCCGGAGGAGACGCTAGCGTGGGAACCAACGAGCATCCAGCGAAGTTATCTGAGAACGGGGATCAAGAAGGTAGAGAACGAGAAGAAGTCCCGAACAAAATGTCCCCGCCGTCACTTCAAAATCCTCCAGGGAAAACCACCAGCCAGGACGCTCAGCCCGAAACTGCTAGTTCGGTCCAAACATCCACCTCAATCCCCCATAAAATACCCTCAGCTGTTCCCCACAAAGAAGAGGAGGCGCTTCCCGACAACTCGTCCAGCTCCAGCTCTGAAGTAGGCGACAAAGGCAAAGACAAGACGAACGCCGCGACCGACGATCAAACGTCGGCATCGTCCCGACGGAAAGGGTTCAGAGTTCAGGCGCTAAACTTGGCCCGCAGGTACAAAACCACGATGGCCACGCCGTCCGGCACCAAACTGGGACCCGAAGAGACGCCCAAGATTCAGGGGACGCCTGCGTCCCGCCGCAAGGCCATGGCGAACCGGGAGAAGAGGTTCACCTTCGTGCTGGCCGTGGTGATGGGCGGGTTTGTGATCTGCTGGTTCCCCTTCTTCTTCTCTTACTCCCTTCAGGCGGTGTGCCCCGAGACCTGCAGCATCCCCAACCCTCTGTTCAAATTCTTCTTTTGGATCGGCTACTGCAACTCCTGCCTCAACCCGGTCATTTACACCATCTTCAACCACGACTTCCGGAAGGCCTTCAAGAGGATACTGTGCCGGGACACCAAGGGGACGTTCTTCTAGAAAGAGGAAAGTTGTGTTTTTTGAGCTGAAAAATGAATTATTTCTTTGTGCGTTTGACCGGGATCGACCTTCTCTTCGGCATCGAACATAAAACACTTCGCCGTCCGAATGTCTGCTTATTTGTCCGGACGCTCGGCTGAGTCACAGCAGCGGCGATAAAGACGGGGGATTTTTCAGAAAAAGCCGCGGTCAAGTGGCCCGAATCAATTATCTTTAATGTTATTTAAGAATACGCTGTAATTGAATATTCAATGGCTCTGAAGACGAAATGATTGGATTACATATTGAAACGGAAGTCAAGAGGGATACAGGGTCTGTGTTCAGTAATTTAACGTACAAACGAGAATGTGTGTGTGTGTGTGTGAGAGCAGAGGAGGGCAGCCTCAGGGTTTTACTGGAAGAGAATAAATATCACTAAGTGTCCTTTATCGGAGATTAAAAAAAGGCACTCGAGGAACACAGGATCAGGGGTAAACTTGTGAGCTTCTCTGTTTCTTCCTCCATGTGAAGCTGAAACAAGAGTTTTTTTTATTCCCGAGTGTCGGTGAACCGCTGGATGTTACACCTCCCACTGGGATTATCTCACGAAGGCCACAGCCAGCGGGGAGAAACTAGAGAATCACCAGAGGCTGCTTGAGAAGATGGAAACACTTGAATCTTCTCTCCACCTCTAATGCATTTTATTTTAGTGCATTGCTGAAATGAAGATAAGTACATTTACTCAAGTACTTCTCACAGGTACTTCCTTACCCACATGTATCTCCAGATTCAATTCAATTCAATTACATTTATTTTTGTATAGCCCAAAATCACAAATTACAAATTTGCCTCAGAGGGCTTTACAATCTGCACACATGTGACATCCTCTGACCTTTGACCCTCACATCGGAACAGGAACAACTCCCCCAAAACAATTTAACGGGGAGAAAAGAGGGAGAGACCTGTGGGAGAGCAGCAGAGGAGCAGATGTGTTGACGTTGAATGTTTGTGATGAAGTGTTTCCTTTAAATACTTCTACAGCTAAATACACATGTAGTGGAGTATTGTCACAGCGTGGTAGTAGTACTTTTACTTCAGTAAAGGGTCTGAATACTTCTTCCACCTCTTGCCAAAGCAATACAGACTCTGAACTCGGCGTTGACCCCCGACGATGAGCAGAATCCCTGATGAAGACGCTCCTCCTCACTGTGTGTGTGTGTGTGTGTGTGAGAGACAGTGTTTGCAGCTGCATGTTTTTTTTCCCAAAAATGCACTTCTTTCACTTCTTTTATCTTTTAAAAAGCCAATACACAATGTGCTTGACTGAATCGTCCAGTTCTGTGTAAGATAACGGTGTTGGAAACAGCGTTTGTACAGTTCTACGTCTACTAGCTTGAACATAAAACAGTATTCTTGCTTTTTGTTTCAAAGTCCAACTGGAATTAAATTGTTTGTTTGTGGGTTTTTTGCTAAAGATCTGCTCCGTTAGCTCCTCCGCTCTGTAAGGTTGCATCCTAACATACTATTCGTTCTTGACATTTTCTTGAGAAATACCCAGATGTGAACTACATTAGCAAGAATTTATGAGAATGAAACGTGAGCTTACTGCATATATTAAACTGTCCCACAATGCAATGCATCTGGTTGCCTTTATTAAGTTTTAATGAGAGAAAGTAACCGTTTAGATTTCCAATATGTGGTCAGTTTATGGTCTCAATCTCTACGTCGTCAATATACGGTCACTTCAATTCACTGGTTGCAAAAAAAACAAGATGGCGACGGCCAAAACGCCAAACTGGAGGCTTCAATACGTCAGAACACAAACCAGTTTATGATAACAGCGTACTTAATTCTTCTTTAGTAGGCGGCATGTAGTTCATACTGACTGAGTTTGTAGTTGGAAGTACGTACGAATGTGGTCTTTGGCTTTGAGCTAACGCTGGAGTACTAACATCATGTTCACCAAAGCATCGACGCATTCACACGTTGACCTGAAGATGGCGTTAGATACAGAAATCATCACAATTCATCCTGATGGGAACATGAATATGTGTCCAAACATTTTTCCTCATAACCTCGACTCTCAGAGAGCTAAACAAACATTCACCAGCTAAAATGAGCTTCTCCTGCTAACGAACGTTAGCTAAAACTGATCGTTTTATGGTTTTTACTCTTCATCATCACAAGCTAACGGAACATTGCTTGCCGTTAGCTTGTTAGCATTGAGTCAGTCATGGATGCATCGGTAACGACAGGATACGAGACTCAACTTATCGAGACAATAAGTTCACACAGTTGCCGTTATCATCGATCACTTCCTTTCAACACTAAAAGACAGAGTTTGAAAACCTTTATTTCGTTATGAAGTGACGGTCTTTTGTGATTTCAGTTGGACTTTCAGTTGAGAATAATTTCCTCGTTATCTACTTGTATCTTTCTTTGTCTGCTCCTGTGTTCTGGTTTTCTGATGCTTTTACTTTGAAGTCTCTTCATATTAAGGGTTTGAATAAAGGTCGTGGCGTTGGAACAACACGAACAGGGACGCTTGTCTTTTCAGAGGATCGACTGAAAAGCACTTACAGAGCAAAGAATAATGGAATCAGACAATTGAGCGTCGCTGCTGTCTGTCAGGAGAATTATCTTTGTCTGCTTCACTGACCTCTGACCCGAATATAAAGCACTGTGATAAACAGGTCTACTCGTCCTCCTGTCAGCACACACACCGAATAATGGACCAAAAATAAGCAGATGTGGGAAATGAAAGGTGATAATTAACTAGTTAACTCGCACCAAAAAGCAGAAAGTGTTGTTTACGTCTTGTGATTGGTGCGTAATTAAAGCGGTGAAAAGCCTCCAGTGGTGTTATTGAGTGTAATTAGGACGGCTCTTTTATCCGCTGATATTCTGTCTGCAGAGTTTATTATATTTATTTAATTCACTATTTGTAAGATTTAAAAACCTTCTTCTTCATAAAACCTTAACACTGAACACCTCGTAGACCTCATAGTGTGCTGGAGACGGCTTTTTATTGTAAAAAGAGCAGAATATTACGTTCATTCCTTCCATGTTTATGATGACAGCTTCATGGCTCCGAGGTCTTACGGTATTGGATTTTTAATGTCTTTTTTATGACGCCATATTAAGCCCGACAGTGTTCGTCTCCGTCGCGTTTCGGCAGTGAATCAGATGACATCACTGCTCCTCAGCTGGAAACTAATAAAACAGATTCACGTTCATGTTCTTCTAGTTTTAACCTCTTTGTCTGACAAGAAACGTCAAAGTCACAAAGTCCTGCAGCTCGAGTCGCGATGACAACGCTTTACAAAGCGATCAATACTCAAAATATCTGCACATGACAAGTACAGATCAGCAGGAGAAAGATGAGCTGTTTAAACCTGCTGATATTCTCTGTTTTATTCTTTTCTTATCAACAAATCTTATCTGCATCGATGACAAAGAATGATGAGCCTGACGTCTCTTCTTCCTCTGAGCCATACAGCACCATTAAAAACCCATCAATGAGCCTCACTGTTCCTCCACCACAAGCTCTCTCTGAGGGCCAAGTCACAAAAGCATTCTGCGGCTTCTAAAAACT